ATGTTTGTCCATGGTCCGAATGGACGGCCTTAGCCCCTCAGGACAAGCCGTAAACCTACACTCTGAAAGCTTTCGGCCCCGGAGCCTCTGAACTGTAAATGAACCCCTAAACCTCACATCTCCGGTGCGCAGATGGCCCTGAAGCTCTAAAGCTGCGACTCTATGAGGCCTACTGTCTGTTGCACCGTAAGGGGTGGGTGTGATTTTTGTTTCATTCTCTCTGTCTCTCTCTCTCTCTCTTTCGTTCTTTTTCTGGGGTATGGGTGTTTTATGGGAGCCAGGGTTTGGGGGGGTCTTAGTTTCGGGGTGAACATGGTACGGGGCTCTAGGGATAGGTTTTGGGGTGCGGTGATCCAGTCAGGAAGGGTTTTGTGTTTGACTTTTCGGGCAGTTTGCGGGGCCAAGGAGGGCGGTGTGAGGAGGTATGTTCCTCAAGCAAGGATTGAGCAAGCCACCGCAAGAGTTTCTAGCCCTTCTGCCTCCTAGCTCGCATGATTTGGGTGATATGTAGGTACATGACGAGTATTTGGGGTCATAGGGTGCCGAGAAAAATTCCAAGGCAGCGTCTGCCTGAGATGGATTAAAGTTGGCACGCCAACTACGAAATCCCAAACCGTAGGCCCTGAACCCGAAAGATGGAAGCCCTGAACCCCAGCCCTGAAGACGCTAAACTTGAGGACGCCCGAGGCCAGTGGAGGTTCATGGGCAGTTATATATGGGGTTAGCCCCCTAATGCAGATCAAACCTGTAGTTATCCTACTTTTAACCCCACTGAAAAGTACCCCTGTCCCTGTAAGAGGGCCATGTCCTGGTACATCCCTTGACAAGTGATCATACCTGTGGGCTTCATTTCTCCTATATCGTCCTCACGGGGGACCCCTACAATCCTCTCACAATCCGTACATGCTCTGAGGGGAAGGTTTTTCTGTGTTTCTTTGAATTTTGCAGCTACTAGATCAATCATACCATCAGGCCAGGCAATTTAGGTTTAGAGCTTAGAGCTCAAGCTTAAGCACCTGCCCATGATCATGAAATTGAACTGCCCACCCCCCCAAATAGGAAGCTTGCCCAGTTAAGTATCATCACCTAATGGGGAATGTTGGTTTCGGAAAGCAGGGGGCTTTCTCGTAAAACAGGAACCGTAATTCAAGGCCGTGTAGGTGAGTAGGTGATGACCTTTTTCATCCTAAAGCTTCAGAATGCGCAATACACTGCAAAGACTCCGTCCATGAACCCCTGATGACCAGATGAAAAATCTCATAAAGGCGATAGCAGTCATAGTACAAAACCCTAAATCGCAAAGACATAGTCCTAGACCCCAACTCCCAAAGACGGAGTCCTGAACCCCAAGCGCTAGACCTTAGAACCCAAATCGTAAACCCTAGACCTTGGACTAAAACTCCCAACCTCGGACCTTAAAGCCTAAACCCCAAACCCTAGACCTTAGACCCTAAGCTCCGGCTGTATGCCAAGCCTTGGCCTACCCGACCAGGCCAACAAGGAGGAGAGCTCACCGTGGAGACCAAGGGCTTCATTTGAGCCGCAGATAGCCCAAAGATGATTGGTTTAGGGTTCAGGGCTTAGGGTATCCATTCAGACAATTCTATGATGAAGGATGTGTTCCAAAAGCCTGCGTGGTTTTCTACGGGAGACAGTAGATTCACCGACTTCACCTGTGGAGGTCGCTTATAGTTCAGTCGGCTTGGGTCGGCTTGGACGTAGCCCGTTGATGAACTGGATGCTTGCTGTGGAAAACTGTCTGCCTTTTGGGAGGCATCCTGTGTAGTTTCTGGAGAAGAACGAGTAAGTCCTGTGGACTTGGCTATGGGTGCTTCCAGTATCCTAGGCTCCATCAATCTTCGGAACGAGTCATCACGACCCGTGAGCTGTACGTAAGCCTTAAACCCAAAACCTGAAAGTGCTTGTTGCTTGGATAGGTGATTGATGTTGCGGACACATCGAAAGATATCAAGATGTGTTAAGGTAAGTTGTTCGGAGCTACTTGTGACCAGGGTTCCCATATGAGCTATAGTCTAAACTCCTTAAAGGGGGCTTAAATAGGGGATAATATAAAGGATTACTATAGGGCTTATTAAGGGGGATACTAGGAGTTTAGACTATAGCTCATATCTGAGATCTAGGGAGGGCCTGCCTGGAAATTCTGGGTACGGGCGGCCTTTCAAAGTTGCTCGTCGCCCTCCGGAGCCTAAGCCATAACTCATGGCATACACCCGCCCTACTTGGAGGTTCATGGGACTTAGGATCTACTTTGAAGAGGTTATAGGGATATGTAGGGCCTAGGATATGAATCATGGCATATACCTGCCCTAAGCCCTGCTTCATTCTCTCCCAAAGTCAACTGCTCTCTTCTGAAGTGGTGCCTCCCTATTCATGCTCTTATTCAAGGAAACCTCGTTTTTTGGAGATGTGTAAGAGGGCTGGCATACTTCAACATGTTCAGGGCATTGAGCAGACCTTTTTCAGCGCGCTTTTCCTGACCACCTGCTGATTCGCTGGTCCACTTTCGGCTCTGCCAGCTCCATGCAGGTCTGCAAAACAGGTGATCCTCAACCCTAAACCCCTAAACGCTAAGCCTAAACCCTTAAGCCCAAACCATAAGCCCCTAAACCCGAAACCCCTAAGACCCTAAACCCTAACCCCTAAAACCCTAAACGCGTCCATGCAAGGGATGAGGGATTTGGGGTGGTAAAGGCCTCAGTTTGCGAGCTCCCTGTGAACAGTCTTTTCTGTAAGTGGTGCATTCGATGCACGCTACCCGGGCCTCGCTGTAAAGCGTTCTTTGCTAAGCTTCGGATAGTGGAGAAATGCCCCCCCCCCCTTCCAAAAAAAACCCAAACCCCTAAGGCCTAAACCCTACTGTCGTCAGTTGCAGCAACCACTTCCAAGCACAACCTGGCAACGATCTTCAGGCCCATGGTCTGGCCCTAAGGTTGCAACCAAAAGCGGGTTTGGGGGTTTAGGGTTCAAGGTTTGGTAAGGTGACTTGAACCATAGTCTAAGCTTTTTAATGGGGTTATATACTGTAGGGTTTAGGGTTCTCTACGGTTTAGGGTTCAGGGTCTAAGCTCCTTAAGGGGGGTTGTATAGGGATTATATAACGGACTACTATAGGGGTTACTAAGGGGGATCCAGGAGTTTGGACTATTGCTCGCTTGAGGATGTCGACAGTCCATCCATTACACCAGCATGCCCCCGCCCTTTATGTTGTATCTAGCTCTACAACCGAAACCCCAGACCTTACATCATTGCCTTCACTGAAGCTCATTCCGAAATATCTTCAGAAGATCCCTATATAACCCTAATACATACTCCAGTATATCATAGTAGCTGCCATTTTTTTTCCATAATCCCTGTCAAATCCTTCTATACCATATAGTAGTTTCCATTTTTTTTCCATCATCCCTGTTTCACCCCTATACAATCCCTATAATTCCTGTAGCTTCCAGTTTCTTCTCCGTTATCCCTTTCAAGCCCTAAACCCTAAACCCTAAAACCTTAAAACTCTAAGCCTTAAAACCCTAAAGCCCTAAAACCTGAACCCTAAATTATCCAATGGCCCTGGCCTTGGCGGCGCTCTGTTTGGCCCTGGCCACTGCCAGGCGCCCACAGGCCAGGTATAGCTCTGTGGGTTAAGGGTTTTGAGGGTTGAGGGTTTAGGGTCGAGGGTTGTAGGGTTTAGTAATGGGTTAAATAATGGGATTTGAGGGTTTAGGGTCGAGGGTTGTAGGGTTTAGTAATCGGTTTAGTAGTGGGATTCGAGGGTCTAGGGTTTAGGGTTGTAGGGTTGTAGGGTTTAATAATGGGTTTAGGTATGGGTTTAGTAATGGGTTTTGGGGGTTTGGGGCCAATATTGGGGCGATACAAAGATAATAGAAAAGAACATGGAACTACTGTGGGTTTAGGGTTGTAGGTTTAGGGTTGTGGGTTTAAGGTTTGAGGTTTAGGGTTTGGAGTTTTAGGTTTGGGGTTTGGAGTTTAGGGTTTAAGGTGTAGCGTTTGGGGTTTAGTGTTTCTGGTTTAGGGGGTTTGCGGGGTACATAAACATCATATAGGTGTATATGGGGACAACGTAGTGATACAAGCCTAATATAGGCAACATGGATGTATTTGGTGCATAGGACGTTTCCCTGAGGCGATGGCCCTGGGTTTAGTAAGAGAGGTTTGCATAGGGGGATTACATAGGTAGATGTACGGATTGCGCGATGGTTGATATACGGGATATCTGCGTGTATATATTTTCATTCAGGTGTGTATGTGGAACCAGTTCGGAGTTCTATCGGGGCTTTTCCTTGAAGGAGGGATCACAGAGGGATGCATGCTCTGAGTCGTTCATTTGTAGTACTACTAGTATGACTGTTGTTCTGGCTATTCCTACCGGCCTCCAGACTTTACACCCCAAACCTTAAACCCTAAACCCTAATCAGATCCCTATAGGAAATCCCAGAACAGTTTCTATGCAGCCCATGCCTACATTCCGACTAACAAAAGACAGCTGGGTTGCTGCTAAGGAATTCTAAGTAAGTCACTTTATTGGGGAAACCCTTTATTTGCTATATATATACCCATTACGGCAACTTGATTTAAATTTCTTAACAGCAACCCAGTCTTCCGGGTAATCGTCGTTGCTTTGCTCATGCAGGTGGGCAGCCCCTGGATCTTGGTGTCCGAGGATGAAGCCAGATCTTCTGAAGCTGTTCGCTCGCCGGTGCTTCCCCTGACCCAAAGGGTCCATGTAGATATATGGTATATACTTAGGGCCCAAAGAGGTTCCCATATACCTACTTTAAGGCGCAAGTATATACCATATAGCTACATGGACCCTTTGGGTGAGTTTTGCCATGTGTGCAGAGAGTGTGCTGTGTACTGTCAAATGCAGGTGCCGTCCAGCCTGCTCACCAGCCGGATCCGCACATGTTGCTTGACTGCTCTAAAGCTTCTGTTGACCGCCTGCTCTGACATGTTTTTTTTGTTTGCTCGAGGCGACGAGAAGGAGGAGGCAGCAATTCTGCGACTTGTACTGAAGAAGCTGGGCATCAATGATGAGTTGAGTGAGCACCACTGCGAGTGGGAAGGCATTGACTGTGACGAGGAGCAGCAGTGTGTGGAGGCTCTCGACCTGAAAGGCCGCAACTTGACTGGGGTGTTGCCCGCAGAGCTAGGAAGCCTGACTAGCCTGACGACACTGTGGCTCAGAAACAACCCCAAGTTAACGGGGACTTTACAGGCTCTGAAACCTCTGACATTGCTATATCGACTGGACATGGAGAACACGCAAGTCACTGGTCGGTTGGAGGATCTGCAGAGTCTGACGCACATGAAGTTTTTGAATCTGAGGGAGTTAAAGGTCTCCGGACAATTGGAGGCCCTGAAGAACCTCAACGAGATTGAATGGCTTGATGTCTCCTCTACGGATGTTACTGGTGGGTTGGAGGCTCTCAAGGACTTGAAGGAGGCAAGTCGGCTGATTCTACGTGGAACACGGATCAGCGGACAGCTCCTTTATCAAGTCTGGATAAGTTTTCAGATGTTCTGTAATATCTTGACTTCATAGCCAGCTGAGTTTTACCCGAGCATAGGAATCCTGACAATGATCCTGCATTGGCTTCTGTTTCCCAAGACCCTAATCGCTAAACCCTAAATGCCTAATTTGGACTCAGGATAGGGTTCCTGCCGAACAGCGTGTCCATCGTTGACTTGTCCACGACGCACATCACCGGAAGTCTCGAGGATCTGCGATGGCTTTCCGTTCTTGCCACTTGCTTCTTCTCCGGCCTCTGCGGTCCGTCCCAGCCTCTATTTTCCATCATGACCCTTACAGTCATGAGTGCTGTTGTCCCTGCCGTTCGATTGAGTTTGGTTTCTGTTGTGACAGTCTATTCCTGTACCTTCTTCGACCATTACGCCTAGTGGCAGGCACCAGCCAAGCAAGGGACCGTCATGGCTCCGTCAACGCCCCTTACAACCAAGCCCACCTAGCCGGTCATCAGCACAATTGGATCTCCGTTTGAACTTCGAAATCCTGGGAAAGGAGCGGGGGTCACAGGTGACAATGTAAACCCTGTCGGGAAGATGACTACGACACGGTTTGGCCTCCTTAAATGCAGCAAGCAGGGTGTTGGAAGCCCCTAGACCCCAAACACTTAAGCCCTCAACCCTAATCCTCACCTGCCGCCACTGACTTTCAGACTCGGCTACGCCAGGTTCGGACTTACCTCCCGCCCTTCCTCCTTCAACTCCTGCTCCTACATCCCCCCTCCTGTTGCTTCTGCTTTGTTTCCTTCAGTGTGTGAAATTGCAAAAATCATGGTTATCACTGCTATACTGGTATTGAGATGCAGGACCTTTGGGACAAGGCAAACCTCCGAGAAGTTTTCCTTCGTGGCACCAAAGTTACTGGCCGCCTGACGGCGGAGTGGTGCGGAAAACTACCTGAGCTGGAAATCCTAGACCTCGCGGTCCGGGACTCAATCATACCTTTAGTTAGCTGGGAATGAAGGAATGGAAAAGAACATCGAAATTACTATAATGGGTTATGTAGGGACTACTATAAGGATCCATTCCTTGTTCATTCCCTTCTTCATCCCTAGCTAACCAAAGGTAAGTAATGTCAGCATCCTAAGCCAGGGCCCTTGGAGGCAGGTATCCGAAGAGGCCGAAGATAGCTTCCAATGATTACTAGCATCCTTGACGAACAGAGAGTGGAGACTTACCTTTTGCTAGCTAGGAATGAAGGAACGGATCCTTACAGCAATCCCTACACAACCCATTATAGTAGGTTCCATTTTCTTTTCCATTCCTTCATTCCCAGCTGAGTGGGAAGTGACGAGCTGCTACACTGTACACGTACCTGTGAGGGCTCGGATGTGCGCTTTCTGCCTACAGACGATGACCTGCGGAGCATCCGCAGCCACATGTTCCAACCAAATGGGACAGTACTGCCATCACTGAAATTGCTTGACGCGGCCTGCCTGCACATGTTTAGGTATATACGCTACCATAATGTAGTAGTTTCCATTTAATTTTCCATTTTCCCTATATTAATATAGAGCCTGCTATAATTTCAGTAGTCTGTGAGTGGGCACACGAGTCATCATGCTCGAGGGTTTCAAAAATCCCTGCGCCTGTGATTCAGAGCATTTCCGCTTGAGAATGTCGTGTTGCATTGTTGTACATGTACGCAGAGATGCCACGGGCTCTGCTTTCTGGGTATTCATTGTTTCAAGCATCACCGCAGACAGGAGTTTCAGCGCAGCTGGCTAGTTTGCTGCCGGGCACCGAGCTGAGGTGTCCCGCTGCGCTCTGAACGGTCACGTATCTGGAGCATTGTTGATGAATTTGTGTTTTGCATGCTGTGCTTCACGGTAGTTGATGAAGCCTCATGCTGGAGTATGCATTCATAAGGCATTTAGGATCAAGAGCCTGAGTCACTCCAACCCTGTTAGGCAACTGTGTTCCTCCACTTGTCTCGGTATATTGTAACCGGGAAGTTCATTTGTGTCCTTTGCGGTGGTGCCTATGTAAAAGTTCTTGCAGTGCACGTCACAGGTCACCTCGCATTGGCACAAGTTCTACTAACACGGTAAACTGGAGCGTAGGTTGTCGGACAATTTTCGGGTTGTTGTTTCGATGACGGTCAGCACAAAAAGTTATGCATTGCATCTTGCTGCGTTTTGCTCTGAGAATGATCCAGGTAGACAAGCTGCTCTGGCCATTCGCCGCGTCGAACCACCTGAAGAGATTGATCGCGGTGAATTCGAGTTTGTACGGCATGCTCCCAGACTTGGCTGGGTTTGATGCTGGGTTGCCTTGTCTGAGGTTTGTCCTATGATGTCCTATGCTGCATGCTGCTGTCTTCCCCTTCACAAGTGAAACATGTCAAGGACGTCATCCGCTCTTTGCAAACATTGGATGTGTCCCAGAACAAGGTGCACCGTGTGGACGGCCTAAATGCTGGAAACAGGCTCTCGTTGGATTTCAACCCCAACATCACCTTCGCGCCGGGGGTCTTGCGCAGCGCAATCGAACGAGATGTCAGGATAGACCTCAGAGGAGTGTACCTGAATGTGCTGGAAGATGCAACCAGGTCATTTTGGAACAGGTTTTGAAATATTCAATGCGGAAACCCCGTGAAAAACCAATGGGGTGTTTGGCATTTTCAAGTGAGTAGTACTTTATTTGGGGTATTATGGTACCCAATATAGAGTAGGATTACATCCTCCTTTTGGGGCATAGTATTTTATATCAGGAATATAATCTTACTAAGTTTAACCACCAAAGAAACGCATTTTCAAGTGGCATCCAGCAGTGACCCAGGCCAAGGAGGTCCTGGAGGTGCTACCACAGCTAAAGTCTGGGAGGCTCCTCGCAGATTGGAGGACCCTGAGAATAATATGGGGATAATGGAAAAGAAAATGGAAACTACTTTCATATATAGGTTCTATAGGGGTTGTATGGGGATAATGGAAAAGAAAATGGAAACGACTATAAGATATAGGTTATATAGGGGTTATATAGGGATGATGGAAAAGAAAATGGAAACGACTATAATGGGGTCTTTGATCTTTGCTTGAAAAGATGGGGCATGTTGAAAGCAATAGCCGAAACGGGAAATGGGTTTGCGCCGAAAGCAGCCACCGTGAGGTAGGCGCACTTGTTCCACAATGGTTGTACAAGGGTTTCGGTGTTTTTTGCTACTATCAGCGTTCGACAGCATTTTGAAGGATCCATTAAATCGATGTGTAATGTTTCCAAACCAAGACTACTGCTGCAACCTAGCTTGTAAAGTTCCGTAAGCCTTTGTGCTCCAGTCGCTCCTTGCATTCGGGGTTCCCATACTGCCCTGGAATTGAGGGATTGTGCTTGCAAGGAACGCCGAGGCCAGTTTAGCAGCAGCAGCAAGCCCAACAGCAACAGCAGGAACACGGGATAGCTGATTGCGGTTTTTCTTTGAGCAGCCCGGCATGGAGTGCCAGCGAGCAGACCTATTCATTGTAGTTCTCAACAGCTGTAGCTCCGGGGGCTTCTGGGCGAATAAGTCTCGGAGCAAATCCCGCTTAAGCGGGTTGTGGAGTGGGTTCCAGCGCCATTTTGGATACCCTGAACCCTTAACCCTATACCCTAAACCCTAAACGCTAAACTCTATACCCTAAATAGTAGTTTCCATTTTCTTTTCATTATCCCTATATAACCCCAATATTGCCCCTTTACTGAGATAACTTTTCGAACGCTGCAAGGCTTTCGCGGGAGATGATTCAGGTCGGAGCTGGCTATGCTTGCTTCAATCTCCAGCCCACGGTCTTGCAGGTATAGATTTTTGGAAATTGAAGTCTGGGGCTTAGGGTTTAGGGTTTAGGGTTTGGGGTTTAGGGTTTGGGGTTTAGGGTTTAGGGTTCAGGGTTTGGGGTTCAGGGTTTGGGCTTTAGGGTTCAATTCCACGGTTCCCTTACTGCATGACCCTAGATACCATATTATGAGCTATAGTCGAAACTCCTTGAGGAGGGGTTATATAGGGGATTATATAGAGGCTCAAGTAGTGCGGGCTCGGATGATGGGACCAGCGCAAAATACCAGAAGTTTTCCACAGCCCTAAACCCTAAACCTTAAACCCCAGGTAACACCGGAGCTCTTCCTTCCTGAGCTGTTATGCCGCTGCCTGCCCGGGTTTGCGCGCGTGGAGCTGTCGGAGGACCTGACGGTGTATAGGTGCTGGTCCCGAAAGCCTTTGGGGATTTGGGGATTTAGCATGTTCGTCAAAGGGAACCGAAGAAGCACGGACCACTTGTACGTTTAAGTAATGAACAGCAAGGAACACCTCGACAAGCCTTGCATGTGCACCAAACTAGAGGTGTGTGGCGCACCCAAGTACGTCAAAGCCGTCAACGCCCTTAAACCTCACTATATAGCAGTTTCCATTTTCTTTTCCATTATCCCTATATAACCCCAATATATACCCAATATAATCCCTATATAACCTTAAACCCTAAAGGGTGACACCTAATTCCAGATCCTCACTCCATCCGTGAACACTCAAAGAAATTAATGGTTCAACTCATGCAGCCAGCAGGTGCCTACATCCGGCTACAGAGCGGTGTAACGCAAATGCAAGCAGCTCGAAGACCGCAAGCCTAGGATGCGCGGACGGCTGCTTTGCCGCAAGAAATGTTTTTTCCCAAAACAGCGGCTTTTCTACGCCGCTGCATAGGCCAAACTCCTTAAAGGGGGGTTGTCTAGGGGATTCCATAGGGGACTACTGTAGGGGTTATTCAGGGGAATGCTAGAAGCTAAGACTATACCTCATATACCCTGATCCTTACCTTGGCCTACAAATCACGCACCTCGGTGTGATTTTACGATAGCATCAAGAAGAACTAAAGCATGCAGGGTCATTTTGCTGTTATCACCACCATCAATATCATCACCAGTATTATTGTCTACAATCCGAGTCTTCTTCATGATTGGCTTCTCATATTCAAGTTGTCTTCCCGGGTATGACAAGCCGAGTTGCAGGCTTCACAGGCTTCTTGGGCGTGGTTCTGCTGCTGAGGCTACGACGGTATCCTTTGCAGCACATGTGCAGACGGGTGGCGCGCTAGCGGGGAACGCTGCTACAAGTGAACCATCTTTGACAGAATTGCTTGTCTGCTTTCTTGGGATTTAGCGTCACGGAAAAATTGAGTGTCTGTAGGGGAGAGTTTTAGTACTGTTTGCCCGGGTGTGCTGGCATTGGGTTAGCCGGGAGCGGGGTCTCATCAAACGACGGCTCCCATACTCTTGCAGGGGAAATCCTCCATCGCCGGTGATCTGAACTATAGTCTGAACTCCCTCAAGAGGGTCATATCAGGGATTATATAGGGGACTGTTTTAGGGGTTCTTAAGGAGCTAGAGATTATATAGTATTCTGGGAGCTGGCAGAGCAGCATTTCATCAGGTGCTCTGGGGGTGCCAAGATCTCCTGGCGCTGGCTTGCTGGTGGGGCCTTGCTGGGTGTGCTGGTTGCCGGGCTGGGCTTTGCTATGTTCCTGGGATGCTGTTTGGTAAGATGTTTAGGGTTAAGCGTTCATGGTTTAGCGTTCAGGATTTAGGTTTTAGGGTTCAGGTTTTCCAGGCGCTGTTACGGACTGACAAGAGATGGAAGTAGGTGTTTTAAAGCAGCAGCAATGACCCAGGTTGGCTGTGTGGAGGAGCCGCATTCTTGTCATGTACAATCCATTTTGACCGAATTCGTGTATCGAGATCTACTGGATGGCTGCATGAATGCTTGAGCCCAGCAGGAGTCATTAGCAGTGAAACATTCGACCGCCGCTTGTCCCAACAATCATCTTCAGGTCTAGATGACGAACTTCTTCATCATGACTGCAGCCATTTCGTAACAGATGCGCAGCACGGATTGTTACCTGCATGGCACAGCATCAATCACATTTACACTCGCTGAGCGCATGGCAGTGTCAGTGTCCAAACTCAAACGATACAAGTAGCGTTTCTCACCTTCAGTGCTGGCACAGCTCTGGGGGAGTCTTCCACAGAGCCGTGCAGCAACAGGCACAAACATTCTTTGAGAAAGGTGCATTCTTGACAAGGTGCTCCGACGTTTCGATGAATTCAGAAACTAAGATTTGTAATATTAGCTGCCCTCATTTCACGATGAGACTGTCCCTTCCACTGCCTGAACTGCTGGTGGCGGACACGCCTCCTTGGGCCCATGAACACGAGGATTAGACGTAATCTCCCTTGGATTTGCCCGGCGAGAGGGCTATCCAAGTGCTGTGGCAGCTGTCATTGATCGGGTTTGTCTACTGCCAGGGTTTCCAGGTGCTATGAAACGGGCAAGCACAGGGCATCCTTAGCCCGGGAAAGAGGCAGGCATGGTTGGTAAATGTGCATCTAACACAGCTTGGTGGTTTGAACCAAGCCTTGCAAAGAACTGTAGCCCTAGATCCTAAACCCTAAACCTTAACCGACTTTGTTGGGCGTAGTTGTGGCCGTACCTTGGCCAGCCCTTGGCAGTATGCCAAAATCTGGGTTGCTGTTAAGGAACTTAGTTTAAGTTACTGTATTGGTAAAACCATAGTATGCAATGATATATGTATATATCCACCCAGTATGGTTACTTAATTTGAGTTCCTTAACAGCAACCCAGAAATTTGCGAAGAGCAAGTCTATATAGAGGGTTGTATAGGGGAGTATTGTAGGGGTTAGAAAGGGGGATACTAGGAGTTTAGACAATAGCTCTTGTCCTAGGTTGCAATGCGGGTGCGCGTATGACCTCTCCATTTGGGGAACTAGTTCTGGGTCTTCCCTGGCTGGGCGGTGAGACCGCACTGTGGCCTTCAGTTGCGGCTTGCATAGTGGCTCATGGTCAACTGATTCAAAAAGCTTTAGCAACGACAGGGAGGGCATGTGCCATTTGGTCTCGGCTCCTAAGCCCTAGACCCTTAGGCATGGGTGGCAGAGGCTGTGTCGGATGGTGCTTTGAGCTGAGTGTCTTGAGCGCGAAAATGCGGTCCGTGGGCAAGCGAGGAGGGAGCACCTGGGTGGTGGTATCCCCTCATAGCTGTTGAAAGAACTTGGACGCTCTGAAGTCCATGGGCATGCTATCAAGGCTGCATTCCGTGCTGTGCCAAATCGAGTAGTTCCTGTCCTTCCTGATCCAGATTTGATTTATACCAATTACCTGCTTGCCAGGAGGCGGCCTGTGCCAGAGCCTCCAACGGTGACAGCCCCATCCTCACCAACTGCCTGGAAAGCCTCCAAGCAGCAGTGCAACAAAACATGTCTGATTCCGATTCCGAAGCCTTTTGTGGAGGAATACAGTCTAGTAAGCTCAAAATCATTCCAACTGAGTAGCCTGTCTATCGCGAAGTGGCATCCCATTTTTGGTTCTTGAGGTTTTTGCAAAATCGACTAATCCCTAAATCCGCAACTCCATGATCCCTAGAGCCTAGAAAAAAGTGTGCACCCATGAATATTGGCATAGGACCTTCAGGATGGCTGATAGCCTCCTGCAAGGATACGCCTTTTCATCCCACACTAAGCGCTTTAGGGTCTAGCGCTAGGGTTATTTCCAGCAAAAGGATTTCAAGGTCTTCCAGATCCCACGCATCACAACTACTGGCCCCTTTTGGCGTCTTTGGAACCGCCGACAGAATGCTGGGTTGCTCTTAAGGAATTTAAATTCAGTTACTATATTGGGGAAACATGGGGAAACCCTATTAGTTACCATACATACCCATTATGGTAACTTGATTTGAGTTCCTTAGGAGCAACCCAGACCACAGGCCTTGGTTCCTCTGCTGCTGGGCCAGGGGCCTGTGCTCCTTCAGCTCGTCCAGCTTTGGGGGGTTCTCACGGCATTCACTCCCGTCAGTGACTTTAGTGACTTGGAGGATTCTAAGGAAAGTTTTCAGAGTTTGGTGTAGCGTTTAGGGTGCAAGCTTCGTTGCCTTTAGTACGGCTCACCGTCAGGCATCGTAATCAGCTAAGGTGGGCGGGACGTGGCAGAGATGCAGACAGATCAGGCACAAGCAGTTGGGTGTTGTCAAAGAATCAGGGGCTTGGCCGTGTAAACCCTACAGGTATCTCCGTAAGAACCTGTCAGAAGAAAGCCAGCTTCTTTTCTGCGACTGATCTCAACATTCTTACAAGCAGCAGATGCTGAACCAGCTAGAAGCTCAAGCAGGAGGAAGTAGAAGAAGAAGTACTCCCCATCGTCAAGTTTCGCCACGAAGTGAAATCCTGAACCTGACATTTGGCATCCCTAGCCCTACATCATCCTACATCCCAAACTGGGTTGCCGTTAAGGAGCTCGAACTAAAGTTAGGGTAACATAAGTACACAGTAAACTCAAGGTTTGCCTTATTTTTTGCAACTTAAGCAACGTTCATCAACAGACAGCCAGCAAGTCATTCAAATGCAGGCGGTGGCGCAGTGGGCGCAGCTGACGGTGACGGGCATTCGAGACGCACTAAGCCTTGAGTGTACCTACGGCAGGACCAGCGTGCGTTGAAAGTGGGAAAAGTCTGCAAGAATGTCAACGGATGTCACTGCTTGGTGACTCCTCTTGATAGGGGCTTGGGTTGGACACTGTTCTATGATGGTTTTTAGGCAGGTCATGGTGTTGCACAGTGCATTCGCAGCAGCATGTACTACTGACAAAGAAGTGAGGCTGTCAATTTGCAAAGCCTTGGATATGAGGACCGCCCGAAGTTTCACGGCGCTCGCCTCGCCGAGCCTACCACTGTGGCTTTCATCAAAGGAGGATAGCGTGGCAATTTGAGGTCATGTGTAAGGATGACGGGTAAGGGTGAGGTTCAGGGACTCGGACTTACAGTTTCCGCTTCTTGCTCTCAAAGCTTTTTTTTTTATGTACTAGGTATTCTGTTGGTTATGCTGAGCTTCTCTCCCCCACGGACCAGTTACATCAGGCTTCTGCTGGTTCTCTGCGTGCTCCTGGAAGTCGTGAAGAAGAGCCAGGGCGCCTGGGTGAATTTTGAGAGGGTTTAGGGTTTAGGGTTTAGGGCTTAGGGAGTATGAGATTTCGGGGGCCTATGTGGCGGTCAGGGAATCTAGAGTGCAGCGTAGTCACAGTTGCCTGCCGACATGTCATATCGTGACCTAGCAGGTTTCTCATCTATCCAGAGTTGTGGCTAGAAGGGACTGGCCGTAGAAAGAGGGTAGTGCTGATTCTTCGAGAGGTTGTTTGGAAGCCCTTTTTCGCCACATACACCATACGACACAAGATGCATTGGAGATGCCTGCCAGTTTATCTACTTCAGCTGCTGTCAAACCATGTAGCCCTAGTGAGCAGTGTAAGCTGCAATGTAAGTAACAATGCTCCATCGCATTGGTCGTCGTCGTCGCCGTCGGCATCGTCGTTGGCGTTTTGGTGGTGGTGGTGGTGGTGGTGGTGGTGGGCGTGGTGACGGGGGGGGGGGGGGTTGGTCGTGCTTATGGTGTCCGTGGTCGTGGTCATGGTCGTGGTCGTCGACGTTGCCGCATCCGCTTCTCGGTTCCAGCTGGATTTTTGTAGTCATTGTTGAGAAAAGCTCTCCGTATTGAAATTGTCTTGACATTGCATCGCGCTAGTTTCCCCATCATGCTTGCAACGGACCGTCTTGTAATCCTGTTTTCTGCTTGCGATCTGGGTGAGACGGCTTGATCATGATTATTTGAATTGCCATCTGAGACAAGCGCCTAACCACTCACTGTCCTATGAATATGCTAGTATTTTTTGGGTGGACATCCGGCGCTCATGCTGTAATGACTTTCATGAGCCGTTTCAGACTGTCTGGTTCTATGTCATTACAGAAAGCCTTCGTTGAAATGCTCCTTTCCGCACAAGACTCTGTATGGAACTTAAGGAATATAGTCCCCCTGAAGCAGATAGAAAAAGGGGTACATGGGGATCTTATCATAATATACCCAAAGCCATGTTCTATCTACTCAAGGGGGACTATAGTCCCAAACCACAGGACTTGGGATTCTGAGAAAGTTGCCAGGTGTTTCCATGGCGCTGAAGGTCTTGTCCTTCTTGTTTGTTGGTGGTGCCGCCAGCTGTTCAAAGCTTCTTCGGTGCCAACATGTCGATGGAGGTTGGGGGGCCTGTCCGTGAGCAGGGGTGATGCAGCTGTTGAAATGGAGAGCTGCTTTCTGAATAAGAACTGGGTAGGCCCCTGGGATATTTAACATTTTCCCTAATGGCTTTAATAAGGGACCCTATAGACTAATATTATTCAAATGGTTTTAGGGGCCAACCCAGAGAAGTAAGCTCATTTTTTCTCCAACATCCCGATATCCCCGTATTGGCTGCTGTTTGTTGCCTGGGTGTCGTCTACATCAAAATGCTTGATGCGCCTGACGCTCTGCTTTAGAGAGATTACAGAGCACCCCAAATCGGCAAGGTTTGGGGTCTGGCTGCTTAACATTACTTACTCGTGGTTAGTAGGGACTAAGGGAATGTAACCCGCATATAATCCCTATATAAGATATTCTGTTATTCATCCGTAAGCTCTAAGCCCTGAACCCTAATCCCTAAACCCTCTATACCCTAAACCCTAAAAACTTAATCCCTAAACCCTTTGTCTATCTATCTTTCTATCTATCTATATATACATATACATGTTTAGGGCTGATACTGTTGATGGAGGAAATCTTGCACCACCTTAAGTCCCTAGAGTCCTAGGAATTACAATAGTTTAGGGGCTCTAAGGGTTTAGAGTTTAGGCCTCCGGGCTCTTTGTGTGCAGTTGGCGAGCCACTGGGGGACTTCGCATTTCGCATCGGGATGACGGATCTGCGGTGCCTGGGACCTGATGGGGCTGAAGTGACTGGGGTTTAGGGTTCAAGGGAACCCTTAGATGCTTGACCCTTAGCCCTGAACCCTAAACCCTAAGCCCTAAGCCCCTGAACCCTAAACCCTGAACCCTAAACCCTAAGCCCTGAACCCTTAGCCCTAACCCCTAAGGCTGAAACCTTAAATATCACCTGGTCATGAGGTCATCATGCTTCGACTTTAAGTTTGTAGCCTTAATGTTTGTAACCCTAGGTTTTGGGTCCCAAATACCCTTCTTAAGGGGCAAATTTCATAGTTTGGGGATGCAAACCCTAAGGGTACAAAGGAAAACTCCCTGATGTAGTGGAAGTCCTGAGTAGTTCGCACCAGTATCGAGGCGTTCGGCATATTTTTGTCTCATTCGACTGGGTTGCTATTAGAGAATGTAAAATAAGATACCATAATGGGCATAAACAACAATTAATAGTGCTTCCCCAATATAGTAACCTTTTGAGTTCCTTGACATCAACCAAGTCATTCCTCCTTCAGTAACTGTCCTTAAACGGGCTCTATTGATCTTTAGGGTTTAGGGTGTAGGGGTTTCCATTAAAAAAAAGGGGACTCCAATATAGGGTCTTCCAGGTGAGCGTCTTGCCCACAATCGACCAGTTGACTCAGAAGGGTTTATAATGTAGGGATATACAAGGATAATGGAAAAGAAAATGGAAACTACTACAATGGGGCTATATAGGGTTTTAGGGTTTTGTTTTGTTCAGTACTGGTGTAGATGTTTTACTGCCGCTCATGTTCATGTTTTACCGGAGAGTACTGCTGCTCCCAATCGCACGAGCATGTTCGATGACGATGCTGCTGCTTATGTTGATGAAGCCGATAATGATTATGTTGATGATGTTAGCGGTTGTTGTCATTGCTTTTATCCTCACATTCGTGATCATTGTGGTCGTTGTGATTGTTGTCTCGGTTGTGTTGACGAGCATGATGTATACAGCCATGATTGTGTTGTTGATGTTGGCGGTTGTCGTCATTGCCATTATCCGTGCATTCGTGATCATTTTGGTCATGGCGCGATTGTTGTTTTGGTTGCGGTCATAGTAGTTGTCATTCTCGTGGGTATCATCGTCGTTGTCTTATCGATGCTGCAAGAGCAGCAGGATCAGCAGGAGGAGCATTTGCAGCAAGAGAAGGAGTAGAGCAGCAGCAGTAGCAGCGGCAACAGTCATACGCCCCCCTCCTCTCCTACCAACTATGTTCCTCAACTTGCTTTTCTTGAAACGTTGTAAACACCAAAGAGCTTTGCGTGCTTGGATGTCAAATGGTTGTGAATGTTTGTGATTTTGTAAAGTGTTGGGGATGGGAGAGTTTTGGTGCGGTAGCGTGCTGTGGCATAGTATCGTCCATTCAAGTGTGCACATTCGAAAGTTTTTGGTAGCTACAGAATGCGTAGGCTTGCACCACAACCGTCTTCTGCGTCGGCTCTTGACTTGTTAGTTGGGGCAGGTATCTGCAGAAGTAGCACTCGTCACCCTGTTCTTTCCCTTGTATTAATGTCGCTACCATAATGACTGATAGAAAACTTTATCGTTGCTACTCCTTGTCCTCCTACTTCTCCTCCTGCTGCTGCCACTGCTTGACTCACGACCGAAAAGGAGCTTGTGTTGACCTCCCTTGTGTCGTTCGGATATGGTGCTCTGTTGTTGGGGTTCCAGGCCGTTAGTGGCCCTGGGACCCCGCGATCCATGTGGCTGGAGAAGCTTTTTCGGTGCACGAAACACCATGTGTGGTGTGCAGACGCCTCAACTACTCCATTGAAGAGCTCCTTTGTTCTTGGTGGTAGGATGGCTGGCAGCAACCTTCATAGTTTGCTTGATATAGTCGGTGGTATTTAGCTCTCCAGATCTTCCCCAAGGCTCCTGCTGGCAAACGTGTCTCTATGTGCAAGCTCACTGTTCATGCTGTATAAGGCGGCCTCCCAAAACCGTTGTGATTCTGTAGAGAAGCACGCATGCCCTCTCCAGTGCAAAATTGGATTTCTGTCCAGAAAAAACTTACCTTGGATATGGGAGCCCGGACCGAGCAGGGAGGGATCCTAGGAGGCGGCTTTGTAGTTATTTCCTGACACTTGGGACTGCGCATGAACGTGTCTGAGGTGCTCCGACACGACAGAGGAAGCACTAAGAGTCAGGGCCTAAGATGCCAGATAGCTGGTCCGTATACCAATGGAGTTTCCAAGCAGCGACAGTTAGCACCTCTTCACAATGACTGACGTTGCTGTTGTGGCTATCTCATGTTGGCGTTGCCTGAACATCATCATTATGTCTTGCATTATTGCTGTTACATTCTTGCTTTCATGCTTGAAGGGTGGTGCCAGAATCCTAGGCAGACTACCTGGGATATGGCTGCGCTGTCGCGTATGGCATTCTCATCCCAAGCTTTCTGCTCTACCTCATTCTGAAGCAGCACGTGGCATTGGCCTTCCACCACCGCTTCACTTTCTGGGCTGAAGCAGCAGAAAACCGAGCAGTTGTGCGAGTAAACCACACGCAACCCTTGGTGAAGGATGCGGAGAAAGAGAAGGAGCTCTTAGGGTCGAGGGTTGTAAGCCGGGAGTCGGACAAGGATTCAGCGTAGGAATTGTGGACGGAGATATAGAGGACCCACTTGGGGAGTGCACTGGTTGCCACACTGGTCCATCTTAGGGGATGAGAAATTCAATTTCTTACGTGCAACTTTTGCGGAGTCAACGATTAGGTAGAGTTTCAAGCTCCCTGCAAAGATTTACAGCAAGGGAGCTTGTCGTGGTTTTAAGCAGGAAGATTAAAGACATGTAGGGGACAACTCAGGGATGGTTTGGATCACTTCCCTAGAGCAGCAGTTTGGACAGAATGCCGTACGCTGATAGAAACCATGAGCCTGAAAGCACGCACGGGCTTCGATCGCTTTTATAAGAGTCACTGTTTCAACAAAAATCAAGTTACACGCAAGGTCACGGAAGTAAAGGGAAAACAGGAAAAGTTAGGAGAGGAAGTGGGGATTAAAGGGGAACGGTACGAGGTCACACCTAAACCCTAAACCCGGGGCGAGGTGAGAGTTCATGAGGGGTTAGGGCAAGCATAAGGTCAGGGGGATAAGTGGTAGGTACTGCAAGGGAGTAAGCGGACCAGGCAAGTGAGGGCAAGGGGGTGTGGGCATGGCATCATGGGTAAGAGGGTAGGAGTAAGCACAAAGATACATGGATTCGTAGCTGATGAAAGTCACCCCGACCTGCCCAATCCATGAAGCATTTTGCATTTTGGAGATGAGCTATGGTGTAAACTCTTGATATTCCCCGTAATAGCCCCTGCAACATTACCTTATATAATCCCCTCTTAAGGAGTTTAGACTATGTCTCAGACAAGTCCTGAATCCTGAGCTCTAAACCTCGTGCATGCCTACCATCGTAATGCCAACTAGCTTGCATGTTGCGATAGAACTCGTAAACTTTCATAGCACGCAGTAATTCAAGCCGTGGTCTCGCTGATAAGAAGAAGACCCAACAGCAGCATCAATGCCTACCGATACATACATGTATAATCATGTTTAGATGTATGCTTATTTAGCCATTTTTTGCAACATGCATATGACGGGAGGACCAGATGAATCAGATGGCATCTGACTACCTCCTGGCGGCAGCTATCGCCTATGCTGCGGTGCTTTTCCGTAGCCCTGTTCCTGGGTCGTCAGGAGTCATGTCGAGGGATAGGGCTTAGGAAATACGGTTTAGAGTTTACAGTTGAGTGCATTGCTGGATACAGCTTACCTGCTTTGTAAGGCTACACTCCTTACAGGAACTTAACACTCACACAGGAATTTTGAGGTGCAAAGTCGAGGCTTTGTGCCCCCAAATCCCCAGGCCCAAGAAATCATAAGTTTCTGTTGGTTGATGTGTACCAAACACTTTTGACGTTTTCCGAAATGCTAATGGATAAAATGGCCAGGTTGGCGGGACATGTGATCAGAACAGAAAGAAATGACCCCTTAGGACAAGTGAGCTATGTACCCAATAGATAAAGGACGAATAGGGAGGCCCGTCAACAATTGCGCAAGTACACCAATAAGCACATTTGGGAGGATGTTTTGCAGCACGCCTTCATTCCTTGTGAGAACACAATTCAACAAAACGTGGAAATCTTCAAAACCGCCAATTACCGCCATTTTTAAAGCTGCTGCCCACGTGCCAACAGTCTCACCCTATAGCCACACTTCACGGGAAGAGACTATGGTGTAGAACAAACACACTGTTGACTCTTAAACCTAACGCTCCAAAACACGCGAGTATTGCTTTGTCGAAGCATGATCCAGGTGCCTGTGCGCATGACGCGGCATGTCGAATCTGTGATTCTTGGATTGCAGGATTGGTAGCAGGTCGTGTTTACAATCCGCGGAGAAAGGATTTTGCAATTCACTAGGCTGCATTTTTTGGGCAGCAATTTAAACCCTAAACCCTTAATCCTAAACCCTAAATCCTAAGCCCTCAACCCTAAACAGATGTGAGAAGCCCCAGAAATTATTGCTCAACCTGTCCGTTTCTGAAGTCTCAAACTCATTTCTCCCACCTCAAACACTGTCGGCTCTACACCTTGGGCTCCGGAAACGAAGCCCACCACCGCAAGCTCCACCACCTAAACAAATGAAAGACCGAGCCCCCTAAACCCTGAGGCCTGAGCTTCATGTCCTTCATTGATCTAAGGTCCTGACCATGGGACCCCAATTTGCTGGGTTGCTGTTAAGGAACTTAAATTAAGTTACCATAATGGGTATATATAGGAAATAATAGGGTTCCCCCAATATAGTAACTTAATTTAAGTTCCTTAACAGCAACCCAGTTTGTTGAATTTGTTTCCCTGCCTGTTTCCTGGATCCTAGCTATGGACCCTTACTTGGGCTTGTAGGGTTGGTTAGGGATATAGGGATCCCAGTATTGAGCGCCCATACTAGGGCCCATACCTTAGGTGGAGCCCCTACTGGTGATGTTGGGGTCTTCTTATAGTCCGAAAGACCACTATTACAGGGTGGGGGGTCCACCTAACCCATACCCTAAATTCAAAAACGCGGTTTAGAGTCTAGGAGGTTTAGGGTTTCCTTACAACTGACCATAGGACCCTGGAGCGAGTGCATGGTCGGGGCGAGCATGAGGATCTGCTGGAGCTTGAAGTCGCTCAGCAAAGTGTTAATACGAATACGCTTATGAGGCTTTTGGGTCTTCGAAAAAGATTAGCTTTGGCGCCAGCGGAAGCGCCTTACCTAAAAGCATCTTGTCTTCAGGCTGAGAGCGTCCATTTTCTCGGGATTCCTCCATGCTACCGGCAGGAAGTCAACTTTTCTGTGCGAAGACTGAAAAACTGCTTCGGACGTATTGAAAACAAATTGAAGGCCTGGCTAAGTAACACGTGGTGCAAGATGGCCTCTATGCACAGTATGATCCTTACCAGGGAGCTGCGGAAGCTGCGCATCCATTCAAAACCCTGAGCATCGTAGAATCATCAAAGGCACCCTGGTGGAAACACCCTAGGCCCTACAGCCCAAGTTTTTCCAGATTCCCAAGTGGATTTCCGTGTAAGGGCCGATTCCTCATTTTGCGGTTGGATTCTGTCTTGAACGCTCGGAGCTTCGCGTTTGCGGACCTTGTTGGGGCTTGTAAGAGGACCCCAAACCCTTAACCATAAACCCTGCCATACTGTGAGTTACAGGAGTCTTGTAGAACAACGCAGTCACAGGCGACTAGCATTCTCCTACGGGCCGCGGCTACGTTGCAGCACAAGACCAATATGACCCTGAAGCGCTGCCAGACCATCACAACGCCACGCGCCTAGATGTTGGATCATAAATATACACGCTAAACCCTACATGGGTTTATTTCAATTTCGAAGATTGACTCCAAATTGCTGCTAGCCTTGCTGCAGCTACCCCTGCAAGATTTGATTGTTTGGGCTTGGGATGATCTGCACACAGCCCTCACTCTAGGGTGCGTCCGGTTGCAGCCTGTGCTGAGGTTGAATGCAGGTATTCTGGCAATTTCGTAATCATGGTAATCATCATGTTGATCTTCCTTTGTCTTATCATCGTCATCTTCGCATAATAGCCGCCGCAGCAAGCGCAGCACAGAGCAGCTGCAAGCGCGCAGCAGCCGCAGCAGCTGCAGCGGCAGTAGCAGCCCGCAACATGTCAACATGCCAAAACAAGAGCCATGCTAGCAGCGGGAGCAGCAAAAGACTGATGATTGGATAATGTTACTATGAGGATTTATTGTGCTACCCACCACTAGTACTCGTTCGTGAATAGTCCTGAAAGTGAAAACGCTACTCCAGGCCACCTCTTGCGGTGGCCGCGTGGAAAATATTTTTGCTTCAACTCTCAGGATGCTGTCAGAGAGGGAGATGCTCGAACGAGAGGCAACATCTGACAGAGACTGGGAAGTTTGTTCAGGTCTAGAAAACTTGCTGTTGTGGCTGCTGCAGTTGTAATGGTAGTACCAGAAGTTACCGCCTTCAGTGGTTGTTATACTGTAGTTTAGGTGCTTTGGTGCTGAAGCTGTCTCAACATTTGAGTGCGGCTGTTTGTCAGATAAGCCTGAATGCTGTTGTTGTTGTTGTTGTTGTTGTGCCAGAGTTGCGCTGAGTTGTAGAGGCAGATCAGGCGCTTTGTCTTGTTGTTATTCCGACACCGAGGCAGCTGGCTTCCTGAACCCTCCATCGGAAGCCGTAGCATGATGTAGTTATCCTGGCTCAGAGGTTCAAAAAGTACTATGATATGAACCTAATCTCCAAACCGAACAGTTCCTGATCAATCTGAGGGATTGTGGCTGGCGCCAAAACGATCTTCTTCAAGTATGCTCCTGTGACAAAATTGATCTCAAAAGAGGGTTGCCTTGTTCAGAATACCGTATACTTTTGTGTCCGTATGCTTCGGCGAAGCTACCCTACAGGCAGCCATGGAAGTGCATTAAATGTAGTAGGCGGATCCGGTGATCATGTATTCCTTTCGTCAGGAGTTTTTTGCTGTTTTGACTGTTCTCTATAGTAGTTTCCTTCTTTGAACCGGCTGGAGTTCCGGCCTCTGCATGAGGAAAGACATCCAGCATCGGCTCTGATTTGATTTCTAAGCGCATCGTCATACCCGTCTGTGAGGCACCTTTGCTAAGGAAGACAACATGCAATGGCTAGTTGAGAGTCCTACAGTTGGTATAAGGGACTTCTTCAACACATGGAATGCCCAAAAGTAATGCAAGTTCCCGGACTTCGGGATCCCAGGGTAGTGTTACATTCCCTAAGCCCTCAACTCTGTAGGATTCATGGCTTTTCCTGGATTTCAGGCTGCCGGCGAGAACGTGTGGGTAGAAGCAGCGCAGAAGGGCATTGCAGTCGCGCTGGTCATCACGGCATCCTGGATGCAAAGCCTGAACAGCCTTCCACAACTGTAAACATGAATCCAAAACACCCAACACCCTGAGCCCGAAACCTCAAGAAAACTAAACAACCAAAACCCATAATCCAAAATCCCCAACAACCTGAACCCTAAACCCCAAGAACCTAAACCCCCAAAATCAAGCCCCAAACTCCAACTTGTTTTGGATTGTTTAAACCCTAAACCCTAATCCCTAAACTATCAGCATCTTCAGCTCTCCAGGCTGAGAACGTTGAAGCAAGACGTCTTACTTCAGGGCTGCTTCTTAAACCGGGTTGCTGTTACGGAACTTAAATCAAGTTACCATAATGGGTATTACCCTCCGATAATGGAGAATCAAATGGAAAGGAGAAAGGAAAATGAAATGGAAACAGGGGTTGAGGGTTTAGGGTTGCTGGAACTTAAATTTAGTTGCCATAATGGGTATATATA